TCTTAAATTAACCCATTTTTATAAATCTATACCTTGCCACGTGGCTGGTGGCTTACCAGCGTCTTCACATGCTGCTTGTCCTGGCGGTGGCTGCAGTGTCTCCTCCTCAGCCTTCTGCTTCCCAGAATTCTCCTCTCTCCTTGTCCCACCTACTTCCTGCCTGGCCACCTACTTCCTGCCTGGTCACTGGCCATCAGGGTTTTATTTATATAGAATGATATCCACAGCAAATCTGTTTTTGGATGAGCATCTGCATTGGCTCCTGTTCCATCGGCCTGAGTGTGTGTCAGCACCATGCTACCTTGGTACTGTGACTCCATAGTACGTCTATTTTTAAATATGTGTTATGTGGTTTTTTTTTTGGGGGGGGGGTGTTTGTTTGGCTGATTTTTCATGTGTGTGACTGTCTTGCCTGCATCTATGCCTGAGGACCACATGCATACCTGGTGCCCGAGGAGGCCAGAAGAGGGCCTTGGATCCTCCACAATTGGAGTTACAGATGTGTATGATTGTGAGCTGCCTTGCGGGTGCTGGGACTCAAACCCAGGTCCTCTGGAGGAGTTTCTGGTACCCTTGAGCTCGTCAGCCCCTCCACAGTATGTCTTATGATCGTGTATTGCGTTGCTGCTCAGCTTACCTTTTGTTCATGATTGTTTTGGCTATTCGGGACCTTTTGTGCTCCTCTGTGGGTTTTAGGATTGTTTTTTTTTTCTAGTTGTATGAACAGAGTCGTCATTTGATGCAGATGGCACTGAATCTGTAGAGTTCTCTCTGTACCAGCTATTGTCACAACAGTAACTCTCGGAACCGTTAACATACAGGATTTCCTGTCTTCCTGGGTCCTCAGCTTCCACCTTCAGTGTGTTTTGTAATGATGATTGCAGAAGTCTCTCCTCCTGTTGCTTAGCTTTACACCTGGGTCATTCTCACTACTTGATGAATGGGCTAGTTTCCTCATTTTTCTCCCAGTGACCTCATTATCGATGTATGAAAAAGCTACTGGCTGGTGGGCAGGACGGAGCACAGCTGTAATCACAGTGCAAAGGAGAGGAGGCGGGAAGATTAAAAGTTTGGGGCTAAGCCGGGCGGTGGTGGCACACGCCTTTGATCCCAGCACTTGGGAGGCAGAGACAGGCGGATCTGTGTGAGTTCGAGGCCAGCCTGGTCTACAGAGTGAGATCCAGGACAGGCTCCAAAGCTAGAGAGAAACCTTGTCTTGAAAAACAAAACAAACAAACAAAAAAGTTTGGGGCTAGCCTGGATTACCTGGTTGAGACCTTGTATCAAAAAAGGAACAGTACTGATTTTTGCGTCTTCTTTTTATATCTTGCTGCTCTGCTGAAATTTTTTATTGGTTTGAGAGTCTTACAACCGGCCCTTAGGATTTTCTAGCACAGAATCGCATTTTCTTCGCCAAGGGAGGACGTTTGTGTCGAGAAAAAGGAAGGTGCCATTTCCACCCCTGACTCTGTTTGTCATATCCAATAATTCTCCTGCATTTGACCATCCTTGCATCCCTGGAATGAAAGCAAGCCTTCCTCTCCTCCCCTTCTCCTCTTGCTCCTCCTCCTTGTTCTGCTAACATAGTTTATTGGGGGCGGGGAGCCCTTCTGAGGGTAGAAGCGGGTCACAGCTAGAGAAAGGTCAAAGGCTCAATGCCCTGGTTTGTAGTTTTCTTCCCTTCCTTCCTTCCTTCCTTCCTTCCTTCCTTCCTTCCTTCCATCTTTCACTTTTGTCTTTGCAGGTTTGGGTAACAGCAAAATGCTGCTCTGTGTGAAAAATTAGGATCAACACTCATTCTCCCTTAAAATGTTGGCACAGTGCATCAGGAAGCCACACTGCCCGACTTCCCTTTGGTGGAAGACTGATTCAATTGCGTTACTTGCTGACTATTAGGTTTTGTGGTCTCCTGGTTTAATTTTGAGAGGCCATCTGTGCCCAGGAATTTTCCCATTTCCTCTAGATTTTCTTTTTTAAAAAAAAAGATTCACGGGGCTGGAGAGATGTCTCAGAGGTTAAGAGCA